AGTCTTTTTTTACGACTTTTGACGGTAAAATCGTTCTTCAGAAAATTTTTTTTGAGTCGTGGCTCTTTTTTTTCGCAAGAAGCGTTGAGCCCAACACTCAGATGGATTCCTTGATATAATTGGCTAGAAAATGACATGTCTCTCTTGTGATTGGTTCATATCAGTTGATGTGCAAAATCGTGCAATTTAGAGCTTAAAATCGTGCGATTTATGCTGAAATCACTGCTGCAGGGAACCAATCAGATTGCAGGATTTGCTTGTGATTTCAAAATGGATGTAATAAAGCACGTTATATATTATATAGGAAACTCTTTACAAACCTATACCAGTAAAGTGGAGTCAATAAACCAGTGAAATAGATATTAGACTAAGGTCTAGGGCAAATGTCGAATTTTCCATGCACCAAACTCATTAAAAACAATGGATATCAGGTGATAATGAGGCGGCATTCTTTGATGTAATTAAGTTCGGTGTATGGAAAGTTTGATGTTTGCCCTAAGCCTAATACACTTTAGTAGACCTTAATTCCATTGTTTTCTTTTGTGTCTATTTGACTTTTACATGTTGACTAGTGCCTTCACTTTACCACAAAGAGCACCTTTAATTTAGTAACCCAAAAAAGATTCATAATGTCAGGCATTATATTGGCTGCAAAAATATAAATTGAAAATTGACAAATTTACAGACACTTAAATGACTAGGGGCGATTACTAGCCTCCTTTAAGACTTTAGAAGGTAAATAGATGTAATAATATTAATCCAAAAATATTTTAATTTGTTGCAGATGTATTTAATGGCAGAGGTTCAGGCTCAGTACTTTTGTGGAATGCAGTAAAGCAAGTTTGGAGTGCTCTATTTGCACCTTACCACATGATACAAGCTGCATAAGCATTGCTGCAAAAAATATTATCAGAGGACACAACTAAAATTGGTCATGAATTCAGAAGCGTTACACCAAGAAAATACAATTTTTCTCCACCAAAAGTAAAAACTGATCCATGACTGGCCTCAATGATCATCTCGGTAGAGAAGTCTGGCCGAAGATGCATTTGGCAAATCCAGACAAGTGCTATTTTTGACCTGATATTGTCAATCAACTGGCCATCATTTTGAGCCCTGTGCATGTCTCCACAGAGACCAGGGAACATGTGCTCCTGGGCCTGGTTGTACGAAGGCTGGATAGCGCTATCTAATAATTAAATCTTATCCATTTGATAAATTTATTGGATAACAGCATCAATTTATCCACTGGATAAGGATTTATCTGCTGGATAGCGCTATCCAAGCTTCATACAACCTGGCCCTGGTGGGAATATTCAAATAAATGAAAAAATGCTCAAGGGTGAATAAACAATAACATGTATGCCAATGTTCATTTTATTTTATAACCTTTCTCGACTCCTCTTCACAAAGTTTGAAATTTTAGATTAAACAGCTTGAGTAAATAAAGCATTGATCTTTCATTGAATCATTAAGAATAATAATATTATGAAAGGATGAAAAGAAGCAAATTTATGAAATAACAGCACACAATATGGTGATTTTACTTGATCCATGAAAAAGATATTACTGAAACAGACTTGAGATAAACACTATTTCCATTATTCAGGAGGTTTGTTTCGCAGATCAAATAACACTAAAATCGAAATGCTACGATGCTCTGCTGTTATGTAGCATCCTAGGTAAACTGAATTTTTTAGTAAAAAGGCCTTCTTTCCATCTACTACATTGACAACAAGGGTACAAACAAAAGATGTTAGCTAGCAAATGCTCCTAAATAATGATATTTTGATATATATTTACCACTTAAGTAAATAGATATCAATCGTACGGAAAAACATCTTCCAGGTCTAAAACAAAAAGCAAATCTATAAAGATTTTTGTACTTTTCCTTCTTCACAACAGGATTTGTTGTCCAAAGTTCTAATTGTTCCAGGTGTAGGTTGAATCATTGAGAACATTTTTCATTTTATTTTAGCAGTTTTGTTGAGCAGTTGGACCTGGAAACACATTACAACTTAAAAGCTCTATAGAGTGATTCGACTTAAAACCACTGATCTGAGTTAGCGTTGACCTGAATTATGGTCTTGATAGGGTTTGATAAAATTGGTGCAGGGCAATTTTCTCACTAATAGGACCTGCTCAATGGATATCAGGGGGTTAAGTTGAATCACTCTATGACATGTCTTAAACTATCCAATACAACAAAAGCTGCAATCAAATAAGATAAAATATCATTCAAGTACATTAATCCTAATGATGTTGGGAAACTGTAAAAAAATGTTCTAAATTGAAAACATGAAAAGCTCATATACATATTTTTGTACCTGGCAAATATATAAATATATATTTATAGAAGACTGGTATAAATATATACATATATTTAAGGAAATTATTCAATACCACACTGCTTATCCCCAAGAACCTGATTTTTAATGTCACTATGCATAAACTAAAAGCTTGTAAGGCTTTGAAAGAAAATTTAATCAACAATAACAAAAAAAAAAAAGGATGAAAAATGATCTAATGCATAATACCACTATGCACATACCAGCTTTTCTAATTGAGTAGATAGTCAAAGTGGGACAAAATGGTACCACAATCAATTATTGGTCTTATCTCCCATAGCAATAGAGTGATATTACTTGCCCATGAAACAAAGTTGTATAATTCACAGTCAAAGTGGAACAAAAAAATAATGGAATTTTTTCAACTACTTTGTAATACACTATCTTTCACAGACAAGTAAAATAACTCTAGGGACATTAATTTCCCACACAAAAAAATCTCCTCACACCTGTGGGATAATCACCTTTAACACTAACTGTCGCACAAAATCTTTAGTATTACCATTATTTTCATTACTTAGACTACCTAAAGTTTTTTTCAGAATAAATGAGTCCAGTCAGGCAGCAAACAAATTACATTTAGCGTGATATTTAAGACTTTGAAAGATTGTAATGAAAATAGTGGTAAACACTTGCATTCACCTCTTACCTCTGCCAAAAAAATAGTGTTAATATTAAAGAATTCAAGTAAGTTTAGAGAACCAAACTAACATCATTCAATGATCTTAGTATTTTAACAAAAAGCTACTTCCTATGACTCCAAGAACATTTCATAGGAGGATTTATGATTCAATTTGCTAAAACTGTTCTCGTATGAACATGGTTGATGGAACAACATTCTCATTACAAGTTTAAGTTGGCTATGCAAAACCTTTCTTAAAATCTTTGCTTGAAATTCTCAGTTCATTTCTACCCATGTGAATAAAATGACACAGACACAATAAAAAGATCATGGGCATTAATTACATTGCATAGAATTGAATTGCGAAAGCTGATGGCATTATACAAAGCCGTCATGCATCCTGCTGGGCTAGTAAGCCTTGGCTTTTTTCATACAAAACTCATTGGCCTTGGCCATTTATCTCTTTGAAACCACATTACTCATAACAATCACCTAACTATGGAAAAGATCCAAAACAGAAATGAGACTCCAACAGACTTGATTCTTTTCTTTCTTATTTGATTGGGAGCCTTCATCTGTCTGATCCAGCTTAATCGCCACCTTTTTCTTCATCCTCTGGGCAATCTTTGGCTATGTGCCCAGTCTTCTCGCAATTGTAGCACTTCTCCTCCTTGGTGCAATCACGGGCATAATGACCTATCTCATTACATCTGTAGCACTTGACGTCAGAGCCTGATGTAGGTGGCTCAGAACAGTCACGAGCAAAGTGACCACTCTCTCCACACCTGTAACAGACATTGGCGGAGTCATTGCAATCACGAGCCATATGACCTCGCTTGCCACACCTGTAGCAGCTTCCAGTAGATCCTCTGGGCTTTTTTTCACCTCCAGAAGTGCAATTGCGAGACATATGTCCCTTCTCACCACAAGTGTAGCACTCCATGGTGAATTTTGAGGATTCCTCTGGACAGTCTCGTGAAATGTGACCAGCCTTGTTGCAGTTGTAGCAAACTGAAGCATCGGCATTACCTGCATCTGGGCAATCCCGTGAAAGATGGCCCTTCTTTCCACATGCATAGCACTTATCTGAGAAGCCTAAAAAATATGTTATGAGTTTAACACTTTTTTAAATTCAATTTTCTATACTACTCAGTAGTTGAACAGAGAATCAAAACAATTTTTAAATGTTAACTTGTTATTTAAATAAAGAGAATTCAGACCCCCAAAGCACAGGAGTGAATCAACAGGCAACTCTACCAAAATATGATGCAATGGAGGAAGTGGTACATTAGCAACACACTATACTAGTACTTTCATAAGACCTTTACCATGGAAAATACCATGAACACTGGTATATAAATTAGCTACAGTCAAAACCATGGAAGTAAAAAGGAACCTAATTCCATACCCATGCACACATTAATAATTATTGGACCACATTTCATGATATCTAGAATTATCAATGTCTCAGCAAATGTTATTGGCCTTGGCCAGTAACACTTACCTCGACAATTCAGCCTATGGCTTCTGCCAATAACGCTTACCTGGACATTGATAATTCAGGATATCATCAAACCTACAGATATTAACCGCCATCCTCTGACCTAAGCAGGCTCATTTTTGCAGATAACTGCATACAGATAACTATCTACTGCTGAAACATTGGTGGCACAAGCTGATAGCTAAAATTATCTGTAGGTTCTCAACCAATGAGAATTCAAATAATGGGCACAATGTATAATAAATAACATATATATGTATATATATTGGAGCTTGGTACAAATCTTAAGGTTACTTACTTTTCTTGGGACAATTTCTGGAAAAATGGCCAGTCTTTCCACAATTGAAGCATGATTTGTCTATTTAAAAAAGCACAAATTATGACATGTTTTTCAACAAACTTAAAGTAATCTCTAGTAAAAGATAGAAATGACTTTTGTTTAGTGTGAAAGAGATAAAATCAATGTAATTGACTACACCAAATTCTTTTTTTTTTCTTTTCATTTCTTTTGTTGTTGTGAAAAAACCTACATTAAACTATTGTATTCTGCACAATAAATTCACTAAGTTCCTTATATAGACCCTTTGCATTATTTCTTCAATCCTTTCTACCACTAATAGAGGGGTTGCATGGCTACTGCATTGAATGGCAAAACAATAGCAACTTTCACCCCTATAAAATCTATTTCTATGCAAAAACACAACATAAATACTACCCCTACAATGGGGCTACCAAAACAAGAGAGTTTTCTTCTCATAAGAACCAAAAACTATTGGTGAACATGTTTCATAGCTTTGACCCACAGCTTGAAAGTTAGTTTAGAAGGTCTAAGAGGGTACTTTTGATTTTTTCTTCACTGCTTCAATATTTCATACATTAACTATATTTTTAGTGATTCCAAGATTAAGCTCAACTTAAAACCACTGTTTCATAGCAACTGCAGTATCTTAGACGGTAGCGGCACAAATGCTTTAGAATATATTACAATGGAAATTTAAATTGAGAGAAATGTTTATCATGCAATTAGAGTGCATCCATTTATCAAGACCCTAGAGATGGTGTGAGTAAGACTTGCAACATTAAAAATTTATGCAAAGCTTTGTTTCATGGTCACGGCTGTTTCAATTACGACATTAGGTTCCAGGCGCGCGCGCGGCCAAATCGCGTTGCTAAGCTGCTTCTCTTCCTTGACAACGAAAATGGCGGCAATTTTGAAACTTTGTTTTCCTCATTCAGCAAAATTAAAACCGGTTTAAAAAACCTTTTCTTTCAAGTTAA